AACAGTCTGTGTTGTTCCTCTGCTATAACCAAATGGACATGAGCCTAGAAATGTGCTTTATATCATTGGTCAGATCAGTACTGAGTAACAGGCTGAAAGGTAATGAAACTCCAGCCTTTTTTCCAGCTCTGACCTATTCCTGGATTGCCGTTCAGAATCCATTTTCTCCAAAATGACCAAGTTTCCATCAAGGAAACTTGATGCAATAAAGTCTTCAGAGGAATCTTGACACTGAATAGCCAGATTGCATCAATCTTTTCTTTCTATGCATGAATGTTTCTCTATTTTATACATTAGAATTGGGGTGGGGGGGGGAGTGTAAGGCATTTTAAGTTTATGTTCAGGCCAAATAATCTAAGATATCATAGCAAAAATGACCTTTTTCTGGAAATAAAAAAAACTATGCCAGAGCTTTTTACAAATTTGACAGGTTATAAAGTATTTTTAATAGGACCTCAGAATCCCTAATATGCTCTTTGTCCTTGTCAAAGCTTAGCTCAGTGTAAACTGAATTCCCAAATCTAGATATTTTCATGATAAATGAAGCAGTCATATATTTATAAATTAAGAAAACACTAAGGATACTGTTTAATTTTCCTTTAGTGTGAGCAGGGGCTAAATATTATATAGTCCCTTCTGTTGAATTGGCTACTTCCAGGTTGTTCTTCTCTCACATCTCATTAGCATCTGAAGTGCAGACAAGACACTTCCCTGTAGAGAGCAACATATGCTGGACAAACATCTCCCATTGAAGGAGACATGTATATTCTCATTTGAACATTAAAGACTGATTCATGGGGCTCTGTATAACTGCAAATGTCATTTGTATTTAAGGCCATTTCTAGATGCATAATTTTAGTTATGGGTAATTTCATGCCTTCATTTATTTGCATTTGTCGGCTCTAAATGTTTGGGTCCAGTTGCTTTGTAATCCCATTTCAATCTTGCCTCCTGTTGATATATTGCCTCAGAATTTTTAGAAGATTCTCAAAAAGAATCTTTTGGAATCAGTTTAACAGAAATAAATTTGCACAACATTAATAAATGACATAAGCGAGCCTTGGTGGCGCAGCAGACTAAAGCACTGTTAAGTAACACCAGCTTCCTGCAATTACTGCAAGTTCAAATCTCACCAGGCTCAAGGCTGACTCAGCCTTCCATCCTTTCGAGGTAGGTAAAATGATGACCCGGTTTGTGGGGGCAATAAGTTGACTTTGTATAAAAAAAGAACACCGCTTGGGGGGGGGGACAAAGCCCTACTAAGCAGGTATATACAAAAGTATGAAGGCTATTGCTTAACGCATAGTAAGCCACCCTGAGTCTCTGGAAAAGGGCGGCATATAAATAGAATAAATAAATAAATAAGAAATGAAGAAAACTAAAAAGTATTCTAACATCATAATCATCTCTCCAGAGAACTTTGAAAACTGTATTTCTTCAATGGCCAGGAGGTAGAAAGGGATTTCTTACCATTTCCATATCATTTTTTAAAAAATAATTACAATTACCAGAAATCTTTGACCAAACAGGTACACTAATTCAACAGGAGGGATTCCACCATATTACAACAAAGAGAGAAGCAACGCAGACTTTGAATGTTAGAATTTGATTTTTCTTGTTCTGCAATCTGCTCAAGAGCCATTTTTAATGAAAAAGGTAGAGTTTAAGAGGATTAAATGGGGAAGGAAGGAAGGAAGGAAGGAAGGAAGGAAGGAAGGAAGGAAGGAAAGGAAAGGAAAGGAAAGGAAAGGAAAGGAAAGGTAAGGTACGGTATGTGTTGCTGAAACTAAGGGAGAGGGAAAGAATATATTAGATCTGAGTGAAGGTGCGTTTATGTTGTATGGTGGAGTTGATTAATACAGGATATATAAGTGAAAGGCAGAAAAATATAAATTGGTGTCATTTAGACTTGTGTTCATATGAAAATAGAAATCCATAGATTATTGATGATTGCATGATTCACTCCAGTGAATGGTGATGATGAAAAAAAAGTAGAAATTAGCAGAGAGAGAAATTATGCAACATTTCAAATCAATGTAACCCAGTAGGAAAGGTATACTGTTAGATGACATGCATGGGTGGAAAAAAGATCAGACAGGAAAAGCAATAGGGCCATTTGGAGCACCAGGAATGAATGACAATGCTGACTGGTGAGTGTCTTAGAAAAATGTTTGTTTTGAATAAACGCTTCAAGCGTGTCTATTCATAGGTATCCATGCAAAATGAATGAGTCAGAAAGATATGATTGATCTGATTGTTTATGATGAAAGACTGGGGGACTTAGTGAAGAATATGAGAGTGGTGATATATTCTGATTTTAGAAATAGCTGCAATTTGGTCCTGTCAAAAGTAGAACTTGAAGAATAATAGACATGGGGGGAGAGAGAACATGTGAAAAAAAGTAGAGTGAAAGTAAAACCACTTCAGGAAGAGAAAGTGCAAGTCCTATATGAAATAAGTAATAAAATATAGTTTTACCTCCCAGCAGGATGAAAAGAAAGTGGATATTAAAAGGAGAGAATTATAAAGTTGCTCTGTGCTACAGAATATAACAGAAATGTGTTGGGTTAAACTAATAGGGAACATTAAAAAATGCTTAGTGGAATTATCAATTGGAAGAGGATGGGGTTTGAAAAAAAGAAAACGATTGCAAATGGAAATGAAGGGGAATGAGAAAAAGTATATAAATGTAGAGAAAGGAGGGGGAAAATGCAGCCAAAGAGCGAGAAACGCAAGATTAAAAGAAGCAGAGAACATGAAGAGTGATTTGATGGAGATAGATGTTTGTTTTGGAAATGGGAAAAAAAGGACTAACCAAGGATTCTCCAGAGTGAATAGAATGACTAATGTAACAAAGATCACAGTATTTGTCTTTGGCAGGGAAAATTCATGAATTGCAAATTATACTTAAAAACAATGAAAAACCTGATTAAGCTGCTGCTTTTATGTGCCTTGGTAGAATGTTTACTGAGAATAGAAAAGTGGATGAAGAAACATGCAAATACTCGGTGGAAGGTAGTGGGCGGTGTGCCCTGTTGAGAACCATGTCTTTTTAAAGAAACAAAAATATTTGTGCATAAGAGTACACTTCTGCCCACTTTATTGTACAGAAGAGAAGGTTGGGCAATCTCATCTCAAATAAAAGTAAGAAGAATGCAGTGGGAATGGACTGTTTGAGAGATGTCTGTGGTTAAACAAGAAAGGATAAAAGTAGAAATAATACAACAAGGAGTAGCCTGTAATGTAAAAAGAATGCATTGAAGTGGTTTGGCCATTTAGAGAGGATGAATGAGGATCAAATTGCAACACACATACATGAAGGAAGAATATATGGTTGACAGGTAAAAAATAGAGTGAGAAAATCATGGTTGGATGAAGCTGATAAGGGCCTCAAAAGAGAGATAAAGAACAAAAAATAAATTATGAAACATTATAGGAACGTGGTGGAAGCTCCATTGGTTTGCAAGAATGCAAAGGTATGGATACCTACAGTAAAAGATGTTGGTATAAAATAGTTTTTAACTATATATTTTTCTCTTTCATAAACTTTGGGTTACAATTTCTTTGTAGGATCATTCAATCAATCAACCAACCAACCAGAATAGAGCTGGAAGTGTCCTTGGAGTTCTTCTAGTCCAGCCCTCTGCTAAGGGAGAAGACCCTATATCATTTCAGACAGGTACAGCCTTTTCTTAAAAACTTCCACTGAAGAATGAAGAAATTTCATTGGAAACCTTTTCTTTGCATAGTGTTCCAAAGGGAATAACCTGGTGGGTGAGTTTGTAGTTCTTTTTTTTCTTCCAAACAGAATTTTAAATGTAGCATAAGCAAGTAAGATAGAGTATGTTCTTTCCTGCTTTTTCTGCCAGAAATTGTACTTTTTCTAACAAGTGAAAAAATGCAAATGGAACTTTGTTATCAAACCCTGCACCAAGGGAACTTAGAGATAGATAGATAGATAGATAGATAGATAGATAGATAGATAGATAGATAGATAGATAGATAGATAGATAGATAGATAGATAGAGAGGGGGGGAGATAACCACGTTCCCTTGGTGCAGGGTTCGATCACAAAGTTCCATTTGCATTTTTTCACTTGCTAGAAATATATATATATGATCCAGGAGTGGGTTCTACTTACTTTTACTACCGGTTCGCAACGGAGCTGCACACGCACGGTTGCTGCACGTGCACGTGCACTCTTCTGCGCATGGACAGAAGTGTTTTGATGACATCAGGATCGGTGGGCGGAGCCTCCCACCGGTTTTACTACCGGTTCTATAGAACCGGTGCGAACTGGGGGCAACCCACCACTGATATGATCATAACTGTCTGTAACCACATGGTAAGGAAGAAATTCCTAAATTTCCTTGTAGATATTTGAAAATATCTTCTCTGAGTAATCTTGAATACAAACACTCTCTATTGTTGCATGTAAGAATGCCCAAAGAAACCAGTAAACAAAGCACACTGAATTTAGTCCCGATCTCTCAAACATTGGTAAAGGAACAATCATTAAAGTAGGTTAAAGGTTCAACTACTAAAGCCATTATTTCTAGCCTAGAGATTCTTCAGTCTTCTTACAGGGACCACTAGATGGCACTAGAATAGTCTGTTAAAGTTGTTGATTGTAATTGTCCTAATATTAATAGGCCTTGCAAAACTGCTTTGGTTCCCCTTGAAAAGGAGCTTTGTCCTCAAAGGCAAGGAACAAAACGTTCCTTCTGAGTACCTGCAAAAGCTGGACAAGATTTCTGCAAAGAAAAACCTTGCCTGCCTCCTTCAAGCATTGGAAAAACAGTGAAGGTGGTAGACAAACTAAGCAAAGTAGACATACCTTGAGGGGCTTGTGTTGCTTCATGAAGCAGCTTCAAGGGGTTTTTTCCTTGGAACTTCATGTAGCAAAATGGCTTCTTAACATTCTGCACAGCCTTAAGAAGTAATGATAGGCACAGTGTACATGACCAAACTGACATTGTGGCTTTTTTTTTCCTCCAGATTTTGCCACATATTTGATAGGCATCATTTGTCTGACTCGTGGATTAAGCACTGGGGATCAAACTTTCCCCCTCCTTTAGAAAGGTGATGAAAATGAATTTTTATGAAGACAATCATTATGACACATGATTGTGTTGACTTAATTAATTATACCTTGTTTATGATTTCATTTTTTTTTTACCGGTTGTCATTGATTTGGTATTCTATGTTTAAATTGTCATTTCCTTGTATTGACTGTAAGCTGCCAAGAGTCAATTGGTTGTGTCAGGATATATTATTTTGTCTAATAAATAGACAAAAATACAACTTGAAAAACTGCCCTGGGACTTCAAAGATCTCAGTTAAGGGGAAAGCCCTCATACCTCATCATTATAGGAAGTCACACTTCACCATTAGAGAAAGTACTTTAACAAAGCATTCACAAAAGAGAAGGAATGGAATATTTATCAAATCCCCGATTTCCAATAATGTCTCAATAATGGATATGTTATCTCCATTCATAGGTTGGCATCTTACCTTGCCTCATAGCAGCAATGGTTTTGGTAGACCTAACAAGTTTGAATGCTGTGTGCTATAATCAGCCACCAGGTGGTAATAATAATACATTTTAGGCCACTATATATGGTCCAAGGGCTAAAAATTCTGCAGGTGATGCCACGTTTCCTCTGAAAATACAATAGAAACCTAAACATCTCCTCACTCAAGGTTGTCTGACATTTAGGGTGATTATTTTTTATCTCAGTGAAATGCAATAGAAACCCAAACATCTCCTCACTCAAGGTTGTCTGACATTTAGGGTGATTTTTTTTTTCTCAGTGAAAATACAACACAATTAAATCAACGTAGGGAAAATTCCAGTCATTGTCCAAATATAGCCATGGTGGAGTTTTTTCCAAGCACCCCCTTTGTCTGATACTCCTGACAGATATGATGAAAAAAAATTGATCAGGGAAATCAGATTTCCCCCAAAGTCTGAGAGACTTAGCAGTAAAATCTATTTTCAAACCTTCTACCATTTGGGGTATATTTGAGAGCAATTTGTTGATGGGGAAAGAATTGCTTTCTGCCCTCTACTGCCCTCTACTAAATACTGTTAAGGTCCCTACAACCTCATCCCTATGCAGTAATTGGTCTTAAAAAGAGTCACCATTGAACTTGAGATGTGTCCTTACCCATTGATAATGTGCTATTGCCTATGGCTTTGCTAACCCTTTAGTAAAAGGCATTCTCCTTTATCCAAGTGATCCTGGACAACAATAGAGCCTTTCTATGCCACTCTGAACTGGAAACCATGAATCAAAGTGGGCTCCCAAATCACGCACGAGCAGCACAACCCAATACTGAAACAAAAATTAAAGATCCAGATCCAGAGGGTCCCAAAATTCACAGCTATTCAGTCTTACAAGGTTTGACTCTGAGTCTTTTCTCTCCCTTCCAGGTTCCCGACACCAAAACAGGGGCATCAATTAGAGGAATGAAATGTACAGAAATGGCAGTATCTCAACTCATGCCAATGGATGACCTCACCCAGCAGACTCATGTAAATGTTAAAAAGCAGAGCTAACAAACCCCTTGAAGGATATAATTGGAAATAGGCAAGAATTAGATTCTGCAGCTAGTTTCTTTTCCTTTTCAGAGTCAGTGCTCAGCCCACCAACACTAAAGAAACCAGTTTGTTTGCTTGCATACACACACACACACACACAAAGAAATAGGAGTTTTCTCCTGAAATTATTATCATATGCAGAGTAAAGGAGGCTCTTCTTTTGTGTCCTTTTTGGTAAGAAATTAGCCATTTAGGCATGGATGTCTAGCACAATCTGTGAAGATAAAACAATGACAAAATGTGCATCCCAGTGCAAAGCCTATCCTTTCATACTGGGTGTTCCAAAAACCATTTGCATTGTGATGTCACAACATGCTTTTGTCAGTTACCCCCTCTCCCTGTCCCAGCTCTTCTTCATTTATGGGATTTAGGAAGTGGGCTATTTCAGGAGTAACTTGGGACCTTAGGGTAAGCTCCCCACTAGGGAGTTTAGGGTAAATCACTGTACATGGAGAGTAATTAATGTGTGGTACTACAAGCAATTAGGAAATAAAAATAAGGACAAAATGCTAAATAGACAGGTAGATGGACAGGTGGGCATATGAGCTATTCAGCCTAATTTCTTCCCCAAATCTGATTAGCACAGATGCTGATGTGATTTCAGTATCAAATTATAAAATCAGTTTACTTACATGAGGATTTCAATATATTGTGCTACTTTAGTTAGATCTGATTTTGTTGAGATGTTTTATGATTTTATTCTGCTATCTTGAAGTATATTGTTATATTCCTTTTAACATTATCTTTACTAATTAATTCTATTAAAGAATGTTTTACAGAGCACTGCAGGTTTAGGAAAAAAAATAAGTGATCAGCAATTTAGAAAAAAGGCAAGAAAAGAAAGAAAGGGGGAGGGAGGGAGGGCTTCCATTCTTCATTACAACACTTACAAATGCATTTATATTTTATCCCCTCTCTCTAAAGTTACATCATGGCTCCCTTTTCCCATATTATAACCTTTATAATCACCAAACCCATAAATCATGTTCATTTTTTCCATTTTCAGCAAAAAGTTCAAAAAGAGTTTCCAGTCACTGACAAAAATATTGTCTTTTATCTAATCAAATAATTTTGCCACCCCTGCAGAATATTTTACAATATTTCAATAAAATATCTATTTATACATTATATTGTAACATATGTCTCTTGTACATTGCCCTGAGTCTTTAGGATAATGGGCAGGTTATACATTATTTCAATGAATATATTAAATAATAAGTTGCATCCTTATTATCTCTCACCAAGGTCAAAGAAACACGAAAAGGGAAAGGGGAGTCACTTTTTCTCCTGTCCTCCCTTTTGTCACCATTTATGGTTTGAGATTGAACATACATGGTGGAGAAACTTCTACAGCTATGTGATGTTGAATCCAAAACAGAATGGCACAGTGTAAGATATAGGAAAATGTCTTGATATAAAGCTGCTGCAGAAATTTATTCTCCATGTACATGATTTATACAGCAACCAATATGTCACATTTTAGTTTCAACTAGGTGTCACAGCTCTGGGTTGCAAATATCCCAAACATCATGAGATGGCAGCAAAAATTAAAGATTTCTATCTCTTTACTGTTATCTGGTGGTTAAGCAGAGTTTTGCATTCCAAATAATTCCCAAATAGAATATCTGAACAGAGCAGATGACTTGGCTAAACCTAGGCAGTGAACTTCACCTCTGATCTTCTCTTTCTAAAGTACATTCTACCTATCCTATCAACCTGTTTTTTAACATAAAGCTCTAAATCTAGACTAATTTTTTTTTTCATTCTTATCTACCATGGGGCAATTTAATATCCTTTTTTTCTTTTTCAAAATCCATATGAGTGCCCTGTTCCACATTTTCCATGCAGGACAGCTTTCAGATATAGACACTATTCAATTTACCAGAAATACGTCAATTTTACAATATCTAAAACATAAAGCATTGTTACAGTCCTAAATCTCTAAGGTCTTAAACTGAATCCCTGAGTACTTGGTTTATTACATCCAAAGGCATTAGTAGAGCTAATATAAAGTTTGGGGGGGGGGGATAGGAAAGGTATTACATTTGATTGTATCAAATCTAATGTTTATGTTCTTGTAATGACAAGTATCATGCTATCATACATATTGAGATTTAAGTTGAGTGTCAAATATTATACTTGCTACCCCAGTCTAATATGACTAGCCTTTTTTTACCACTTCAGAATAACCGCAGGACTGCTTATTTTCTGTAATTCAAAAACCAGAAGTGAAATAAAAACAACTCTGAAATTGGACAGCTGCAGATCATGTACTTTTGAAATAGCATCATTATGGGTAGGAGAACTAAAGTACTATATTGAATGTTCACAGTTAGTGCCAAAGTTGAATTAGGAAATGTAGCCTATACAGAATAATTTTGTTAAAAGATGAAAATAGTTTACCAAGTATTGGCATCGGCTGTTTAGCAGCTGTTTCTTAAAAACACATATTATATTGAATGTTTCTCACCGCACATATTTCTGCCCATTTTTTTTATTTATTTCCTAACTCACTATTGCCAAAAGTTTCTAAAAGTGCTCTAGGCTTGAAAGTGTTTGGGTTATCTATAGAGAAAAATTGTTTCATTGTTATAAAATTAGATGCTATGGCAGCAAATCATAGACAGAAAAAAATACTAGTAGTAGCGTTAAATGTAGACTTTGGGCTTTAAATTAGATTCATGTTTTAAACTGGATTCATGTTTTAACTGGTACCTTTAAGTAAATAATTTTTACTTAAGATTTTTCACTTTTTTCATTATTGAATTGGGTCTACTTTCTTCCTTGTGGTTTGCAGATACACAAAATTATGGTAGTCAGCCAAGTTTTCTATGGGGTTTTATGCTTCTTCAAATCTCCAGATCCTAAATGCCAGTTTAATTGCTAGAGGTTCCTTATTTCAGATGGGATAGTCTTATCCTGAGGAATTCAATTTCCTGGAATAATATGTGCAAAGTATATGTAATTTCCACAGCATACAGCAGAATGGATATCAGAATGGCATCTGAAATATCTGTTTAAATGAAACAATTGAATAGAGTCAGAGTGTTGCAAGATAAGCCTTTCTTCACTTTTCAAAAACCAGAACGTCCCAAATCCATGGAGTTGCTTGTGCAAAATGGGGTCTGTGAGTTCCTGTGGTGTTTATAAAAGAGAAATCAGGAAACAATGATTTTTCAATGATTACTGACTCTCAACCAGATCTCTCTCTGGAATAGATATCAACTGCCTGTGATCACTGAACTTTTGGAGTGTTTGTGAAATGTATGTCATGAAATCTTCATTAAATTGGACCTCTGTGGGGTTCACCATTTCTTCAGATTGTGTACCGAGGAAGATTAACCTTCTCTTAAGATTTTTACTGATGAAATCCCACAAAATAAACTTTAAAAAGGGGTAGATCTGCCCAACTGAAATTTGGCTCCAGAGTTCAGGTCAATGGGGCAGTTCTAGAACTGATGAGGTGGTACCTTGCTCACTGAAGATATCTGCAAAGTTGGGTATGTTTAGTTTGCAAAAGAAAGTGGAGGTATCAAACTATTGACAAATATCTAGAAATGCAACGAGATCAAATATGTTCTTTTTTAAAAGTGGGGGCAAGACGCCAGGCCATTACATATATTAATGAATTGAAATTTAAAATTATCCCAACTGAATATTAGGAGAAATTTTCCTCTGCTAAGCAATGGATCTGCTGAGGAATGAAATATTTTGCCTAGAATAGTGGTGGATCTCCCATCACAGTATGGTTCCAAATTGTCATAGCATGTGGGAATGAGCTTGAGAGACAAGAGGAAGAACCACAGATTGGACAACTGGCATGCAAAAGATGGCTCAGCCTACAGACGGAAGATTATGAAGAAAACATTTTAGAAAAGATATTCCATAGTATTCCAGAATGTAAAAGGAAAGGAGGAGAGAAATTAGAATATTTCAGTCTTGTAAAAAATCTTTATAGTCTAACAATAAAGATAGAGCTAGCACTCTTGGTTGTGCCTCTTGTCTAGTCAACCTCACAAAGGTAACACAAACATGGACAGCTACTTTTCAAAATTGATTTCTGGGCAAGGTGTTGGATTAAATAAACTATAAAGTTGATCAAAGTCATATGTTCTTGATTATATCCCTTCTTTTCTATTTATCTTTGCCTTTGGTTTTGCTGTTTCAATCTGGGATTTGCTTAATAGTTCATATTTGGATCCTATTTCTGCTCAACCTCAAAAAGTCTGTCTTTTGTATCTTGTATCTGTTCAAGAACTTTGACTTCCTCCTAACCTCAGTTGCTTTCCTGCTTAGCACAGTCGATTGGGATAAGACAGTTCCATGTAGCACATTACAGATTACAGCAGTTTAGGGCCAGAACTGAATAGATTTCATTTGAAACCATAACTCTGGTCCAAATTATCCTATTTTAACTTTAGGATTGTTTTTTCTAGATAGTTAGTCCAAATGAATATACTATCAAATAGAGGATTTAAAATTTGGGTTTTGAAAACAATAACAATCCATCCTTAAGCATCCTGGAGGACAAGGAAAGACAACATCTGCATAGTTGCTAAGAAAACAATGCTTGTAATTCATACAATTTTCACTTTTCTATTACTGTACAATATATTTTTGCTCTTTGGGATTCACAGTTTTCTTCGTGCAACCATTCTGTCTCAGAATTCTGCAGTCCCGGCACATATTGAAAAGGCCACCTTGGGGGAAAACTACTCTAAATGCATTATTTTGCTAATAATATCCCTGTTACAATATATATAAAGAGGTCCTGTCATGTTTTCTGGCAGCCTTTTTTTTTTTTTTCCTAGTAAATTGCATGACAGCAATAATGTTCATGGTGTTCTTTTTACAAGGTTTGTCTTGGTGTCTGGCTCTAAGTTCATGCTCTTTCACCAGGATTAAAAATAATGTCAGCTGTCTAATACCCTGTAAATCCTTCAGGTGTCAGTTACTTCTGATTTTGTATAAAAAGGACATTGGAGTCTTTCTGCTTTCAGCAATTAATTCCAGCAACTCATTCCAGCAAGTCTAGGACAGGTAATTTTTCATCAGATTCTTACTTTTCATTGTATGGCAAATAACAAACTCTTTACAAAAGTGTATTAAAAATACACTTTACAAAAGCTTTTTAAAAATACTAATAGTAATCATATTTGCTGTCTCTTTTATTAATTGTATTCTTTTTATAAAATAATCTTACAAATAAAAAGATTGTTCATCTATTACTATTTTTAATTATTCAGGTGTTAAATGGTCTTCTCTTTCTTACATACAGTATAAACGCAATACTGAATGGATGTCTTATTGTCTAACTATAACTCTAAAATAAATTTCCTGCTCAAACATGGTAATTGACTATTTCTAGAGAACTCTGCACTCCTCTGTTTAAGCGTTCCTAAATTCTTGGATTTTGAATTACAGGATGAAGGCAACCACCCTCTGTGCTTTGTTATTTTTTTGCTGGAAAATGATTTATTGTCAATCCTGTGAGCTATCCAATATTACAATAGCCGTGGAAAAGGAAGAATGTGGCTTTTGCATCCTGGTGAATGCAACCTGGTGCTCTGGCTACTGCTTCACGAGGGTAAGAATCCAAGAAAGTCGGGCGGGCTAAAAAGAAGTAAAGTATTTCCCAAACATTGTAGATATAAGCCATACTTCTAACAATTTTTTCTGTCAAGTTCAGAAAGTGATGATATGATTTTAAGATGCATGCAATATTAGTCCAGTGGAAAATCCTTTTGAATAGATGTCTCTACAGAGCAATTCTATGCATTTTATTCAGAAAGAATGCCATTTCAAGCATGGACAAAATTGCCACTTCATACATCAAATCTTAGCTCAAGTTCCTGGAAATAATTTTCATGAAAATCGGTAGGGTTTAATGTTGAAATAAAAATTCTAACGGCCAAGAGCCTAGAGAGATATTCCTTGTTTGTATAGTTCTGAATGATGTGGCATTATGACTGATCTCCTAGTGTAAGAATGCTTCTGGGGCTGCTACTTCCTTGTTGAAGATCTATTTTATGAAACAGAAGATAAAAAAAATAATATTTATATATTTATCACATGCAAATATAAATATATTTCTTATATGAGGCAAGTGATGGAGATCAGTAGTTTCCTGAATTCTATTGACTTACTGGCATGAAATAGCTGAACTCCAAGGAAATGTAGACTCTAGCTGTAATAAACAAATAAACAAATTATTGCTTTTTTGGAAAAATACTTTTATTTTTCTTATTTTTGTTATTTTTTTAATTGTTGTTTAATTTCAGGAGTTGCATGTTTTCCTACAGTGCATTTCCATACAGCATTGCCTCCTAGATAACAGAACTGGAACAAACAGTCTTGTAATAAAAGTTTCATAATATGATAAACTTGCTTGATATTGGGTTTAGATCTGTGCCTAGCAATAACAACATGTTGGGATTTGCTACTTCGGAAAGGCTAATAACTTTTCTTTTGTTTTCTCCCATAATTAGGACCGAGCTAATATGATCCTTCCACAGAAACATGTCCAGGAAGTCTGCACATTCAAGTCAATTGTATATGAGACTGTAAAGATCCCAGGTTGTGCTGACCATGCAGAATCCTTTTATTCCTACCCAGTTGCGACAGGATGTCACTGCAACACCTGTGACACCGACATTACCGACTGCACCCGGAGAGGCTTGGAGCCAAATTATTGCTCCTATGGACAGCCTCAGATCATGGAGTGAGGCTTCATAATGTTCTTTGTAATGTTTACTTTGTGAAAAACATTGTCAACAACAAAAGCCTGTAAAGAATATATGAGAAACGATAAAGCATTAAGCCAGCCCACCCGCTTTATATCCAAATTGCATCCCTCTTCAATATCCCAGCCAGAGCACTTCAGTTTTGTCTCTGACACTGCAATGTTTAATGGCCTTTAAGGCTCACATCTTCCGAGTTTAAGCAGAACCATCCTTCCTCCAGTTCTAATTTTTTTTCTTCCCACTTCCATTAGACTAGACTAGACTAGACTAGACTAGACTAGACTAGACTAGACTAGACTAGAATAGAATAGAATAGAATAGAATAGAATAGGATTCAGCTATATGTAATGCATAGCAGGGTTAGTAGATAGATTAGATTTATTGATTTCTAAGAATCTTGCAATAGATGAGCTATTATTTAACAATAGCAGCAACAACAACTGCCAAATAATGGATCCCTTCCCTGAAATTGTTACTGCCTAAATGAAGAAAGCATAGGATAATCACAGTAGATTTTGGGGAGAAACAACAGTTCTGATGCTCTGAACAAATCCTTGAGTTTGTAATTCTTTTGTACTAAACTTCTGTGAATTTTGGGCTTCTAGTCAAAAAGAAAAATGCTAGCCAAACATTATTTACTGTTCCTATAGCTTAAATACTGTATTGTGACTTTCTGTGTATTGAGCACACTATTTTTGGTATGGCATTCCCCCATCCCCCCAAAAATCTGGAATAGTAATGAAGTAGATTTTCAGACTAAGCACGTGTATCTAGTTAGATAGTTGCATTAAGTTGTAAGAAGACTCTGTATGAAATTTTCAATGTCCACTGAAAATGTCCATTGATTAGTTTCAGATACTTGGTATATAACCTATTCAATGTATATTTAGATCTGTCTCTGTAAATAAATATTTCTTTGAAATAATAAACATTTTATTTTGTTGCACTTAACTTATGTGATTCTTTTTTTAAAAAATGTAAAAGCTAGTAGCAAAACATCTGATCATGCCTTTCTAAAACAATTTTCTCATGCTGTAGAATCTAACAAACAATTTCTAAAAAGTCAAGGCATGTTCATTCCTAATTTGCTCCTTTCCTGTGTCTACTTTTGTATGGTGAATGCCAACCTGTCATGACATAAATTGATACCTGATAGATCAGCCTCTTCTGCCTGGGGCTCTGTACTCTTTTATGATTTTCTATAGAAATCACAGAGAATGTATTCTTATGGTTACAGATCGCAAATGCCTAGGATATTCTAGGATAAATTAATTATTTAGGTTTTTCCTCCCAAGGTCAGAAAAAAAAGCTCCAATCTTAAAAAAATTAAATATGGTTTCATTACCTTGCCAACTTCTCTTACAAATGCATCAGAAATGTGATAAGGCAAGGATTTTTAAATTTAATTTTATGTATTAATGCAATTTAGAATCTGAGAAACTATAAATGACTCTGGGTAGCTTATGCTACACAAAAAGCAAAAAGAATAAAAATTAGGAAATGGTACATGCATCCAGAAGACAAACTTTCTACAACATCAAGTCCAACAAGACTCAAGCACCCTTCTGCACTAATGCCTGGGAGAACATCCACATCTACAATGACTTCCTGGCAGTCATCATGATGGAATCTGTACAGATCATGGAGCGTAGGGGGAGGAGAGGTTACACACAGAGAAGACACATGGAGAAGGCACACTTCCTATGTCACAATAGACGTCACCATGTAATTAAAGGGATCCAAAGCACATGCCTGATTTCACTGGACAAGCATAAACATTTGAAGAAGGTGATCACTTAAATGACCTAAAGTATGCAAGGAAGTCTTTTAAAGATGATAACTAGTACCTTGAATTGTAAGAGCTGTGGTGCACAGTGGTTAGAATGCAGTATTGCAGGCAAATTCTGCCCACAGTCTGGAGTTCGATCCTGAACAGCTCAAGGTTGACTCAGCCTTCCATCCTTTTGAGGTCAGTAAAATGAGGGCGCAATATGCTGACATTATAAACCAACCAGAGAGTGCTATAAAGCACTGTGGGGAGATATATACATTTAAGGACTAGTTCAATTGCTGCCCAGAAGTCAACCAATGCACTCATGAAGGTCACATGTGAGGTCACATAGGCATATCATGGCATGCCCATCATTGCCTGCACAGCTGCATTATGGACCAGCTGTAACTTCCACAGTAAGTTTGTAGTAATCCATTCATGAAGAGAGTAGGTTGTGAGTGATTTTCTGAGGGGCCTCCAAATCCTGGAATAGGCACAATAGATGAATCTGTAGAAAGGCCCTCTTGGCTACAATTACCAATTGCTCTTCGAGCAGCAGCTGTGATTCAACACAGCCAACAATCAGAAAGTGTTTTCACCACAGCCACTGACTGATGGTAATCTCTCCAGTACCAAATCAATCACAACAGTCACAAGACAAAAAGCAGATCCAAAATGCTACCACAGGTAATGATCAGTGACTTCAGTGACTTGGGATAAGTCCATAATTACCCTGGTGGCCATGAATTCTTAAGTTGCTCCAGCTTCAATGTTACCTGGTAGTAAGTTGATATTGTCAAGGACTCACAGGCTTGAGGTTTCCATAACTAATGGAAACCAGCAGGTTGTAAAGGAATGATGCAGTGCAGTAGGAAGAGAAATACAAAAGTGGCTGTTCCAATAGTTCCCTAGAGCACATCTTCAATTAGAGCATCTCACATCCAATTATCTGCCATGCCATGAAGGCCCTCATTGACTCCCAGATAACAATAACCAACATATTCCACCCTTCCTTAGATTCTCAGTTGATCCCCAGCCTGAAACCTGGACACACAGATTTCTGATGAACTCAGCCTACAAGTCTACCTATGATTTGGTTATAAATGCCATGTCAGATTATCAAATGTGGTTAAAAAACAGAGTCAAAGTTCTCTAGCCTTGTGCCACAATTCCAATACAGAGAAAAAAAATATTGATTCCTAAAATTAAAGCATCTTCTTTTTATTGTATATAATGGAAAATAAATAAACACATAAAAAGTAGATTTTCTATGAATATTTACCTCCCCACAAAAATCAAAAGAAAAAGAATAACGTATAACACTAAATAAATAAGAGTATATAAATAGCGAATACTGCAAGAATAAATATATGTGAAAGAAGCTACAAAATAGTAGACAAACGTAAGTGTTGCAACTATACTGTATAGCCAAAAGAAGGACAAAACTAAAGACATTTTTGCAAAATATGTGCACATATTGATATATATAGAAATGCACATTTGAAAATAATTGGGTAATGTTAAATTGAAATGCAAAAAAATGCAATATATAATATCACAGAAGGGATTATAGATGGGGTGAAATCCAATTTTTTTCCCTACCGGTTCTGTGGGCGTGGCTTGGTGGGTGTGGCAGGCGAAGGATACTGCAAAATCTCCATTCCCATCCCACTCTGGGGCCAACCAGAGGTGATATTTGCCGGTTCTCCAAACTACCGTATTTTTCAGAGTATAAAACGCACCTTTTTCCCCCATAAAAGGGGGTGAAAATTTAGGTGTGTCTTATACACCGCATGTAGCCCGCCCACCCACTGCCCCCCCACTTTTTGCCCTCTGCCTCACAGCAGTTACCTCCTTGCAAGCAAACAGCAAGAAAAAACAGCTCTTTTCAGCTTCAGCACAGCCTAATTAGCCCAAGTTGATTGGATTGGCCTCCCGACTCTCAGCTGATTTGCTCTCAGCTATTTTGCACAGGGCTCTGCTGCTTGCTGCAAAGAGGTAAATTGCTGGAGCAGATTTTTTTTCCCCTTCTGCTAATCAAATTATGCTGAAAATGAAAATGAAAGTAAAGCAGGCTGTTTGCTGCAATGAGGCAAAATTGCTCAGAGGCAGGGGGAGATTTCTTTTTCTTCTTTTCCTCACCAAAAAAGGTAATTGCATCTTATACTCCGAAAAATACGGTACTCAAAATTTCCGCTACCGGTTCTCCAGAACCTGTCAGAACCTGCTGGATTTCACCCCTGATTATAGTCCATATGACCTGTATACATATTATATGTGCTGTCATGTCATGGGTTGCTAACACAGTAGCAGGCCACTTCATCTGAATGCAAATGTCCCAGATGCAATCCTTGCTGTTTCCATGTAAGGCTGGGAATGTTCTGTCTAATACTTATTAAGCTGATGTATTGCTGACAACAGTGAACAAGAAATATGTGATTTCATTCAATGGTTTGCTATGTACATATTGTATTTATGTTCCTAACTACTGCTATGCAATACCTTTGCTCTGCTTTTCCAATTTATATGTATCTCTAACTGGCCATGGATGGGACAATCTTTGGTCAAAGGACTGTCCTTGTATTTCAAAATGCAAGGATTTATATTGTAATTCTTATGAATAAAATTAATAAAAATTATGTTTGCTGTGATCAGGTGCCCATCAATATATTCCTCTTAATGTCATTTCTTCCTGTTTCATTAACCCTGTTCCATTCTCCAGAGAAGCAAAGCTCAGTTGTGAATGGTAATCAAAAGAGCAAGTTGCACAGGTTCCACTAAAGAACGAAGAGGCACTTTCCATTGTTACTCCAGAACATAGGAAAAGGCTGACAGCCTCACCCATTTTATTTCCTTCTGGAAAGAAACCAAAAATACATCCACAATGGAGAACTTAATCACTTATTTGACCCAATATGGCAATGCTATTGTAAGGCATTAATCATATTAAAGGTAAAGGTTCCCCTCGCATATATGTGCTAGTCGTTCCTGACTCTAGGGGGTGAAGAGCCAGCGCTGTCCAAAGATGTCTCCGTGGTCATGTGGCCGGCATGACTAAACGCCAACGGCGCATGGAACGCTGTTACCTTCCTACCAAAGGTGGTCACTAATTTTCTCCTTGCATTTTTTATCTGCTTTCGAACTGCTAGGTTGGTAGAAGCTGGGACAAGTAACGGGAGCTCACCCCATTATGCAGCACTAGGGATTCGAACCTCTAACCTGCCGATCTTTTGATTGATAAGCTTAACATCTTAGCCACTGAGCCACCGTATCCCTTATATTAACCATATTACCAGGGTGGTTATCCTCCAGTTTTATATATGCCATCACCTGTCAGCAATGTGCCTCAGCTCCCTTCCTCGTTATTTAATTTTTGTCCCATGATATAGTCAAGAGATGGTGGGTGTTCAAAGTATTAACTATTACACATGTTTCTTTCCGAGAGATTGGCTGTCATTAGATTATCCAATTCAGTCTGTTGTCTGTGGGTGTTTCATCTTCTTTTTCATTTCTTGTCCCGGCAACTTGGCCTTGATTTTATAGCTGGCTCAGCCAATGATGATTAATGCTCCCCAGACACCTGGATGAGAACCTCATGTATCAGTCATAACATGCCTAATTAAATTGTTGGTTTAATCCTAACCTTCTTCAGTACAGAGAATTCCACATCAGACAACCTTCATTTGATTCTCCTTCCCACGTTGTTAGAATGGATGGGATTAGTTAAAAAAAATAGTGAAAGTTGAGCTTCTGTCTGCTCAGTTCTGAACTACCAAGGTATTCATAAGGTCTTATTACAAACAGTTGGGGAAAACCTGTTTTCTAATCATTACATTCCCATTGCCTCAGATACTGCAATGATATATTTTGACCTTTTCCATAATGCAATTTATGCATAGACGGTACCCACAAAATTCACAAGATTTCCACAAATTGCCATCAAAAAGAGGTGTTACAAAGATAATCTGATAAAAGATTGGGAATGTGGGGGGGGGGAAGGAGCAAATAAATGGGAGATTAGAATTTTTCATCTTCTGCAGTAACATACTACATTCTTTGGGCAAGCTGTTTCAAGGCATTTCCTAAAAGGTTTTCTCTTTTAGCTTCAAAGTCTGAAGAAAACTGGGAAAGGACGAAGATCGCTAGCCAAATAACGGCATATGAACAAAGAGTCCAAGAT